ATATTTTTAACCTGCCTATAAAAAACATTGCACGGCAGGTAGATTGCTGTACATTTCAGCGATATTATTAGCAAATTATATTGTTACGTTCGCTCTTGCACACGCAATCGCGCACGGGAGGATTGAATGTAACACTTTATATTGGGAGTACAAATAAGTCTCCGCCGTTTTTTATCAAAAATTGGGCATTTATTGTGAAAGAACGATACCTTATGTTTTATTCAAAGTATTGTCTATCGCTAGCCACTACTTTTTCCCATCTTTCTGGCAGCATACGGATACCACGTTGGAAAAACGCTTCATCTTTTGAGGCTATCCACGAATCGACCCAATTTTTGGTATCTTTATATGATGTGAAGTGCTGCTCAGACAGGCCGTGCGTCATCGATCGAAACAAGTGATAGTCAGAGGGAGCAATGTCTGGTGAATACGGCGGGTGGAGTAAAACTGCCCAATTGAGTGTTTCCAAGTAGGTTTTGACCGGCGCCGCAACATGTGGACGAGCATGCAGGAGAATAATTTTGTCGTGTCTGGAGTAGTAGTGGGCGTGTTTTTCCTTGAGTGCTCGGCTCAGTCTCATCAATTGTGTTCGGTAGAGGGTCCCAGTAATGGTTTCGTTCGGTTTGAGCAACTCATAATACACGACATCAAACTGATCCCAGCAAATACACAACATGAGTTTTTTTCCTTGAATATTCGGCTTGGCTGTCGATGTTGAAGCATGGCCACGTGTTTCTCATGATTTCCTCTTTTTTGGGTTATCGTAGTGGATCCAGTTTTCATCACCAATGACTATACGATGCAAAAAACCCTTTCGTTTATGCCTGGAAAGCAGCATTTCACATGTGCAAAATCGGCGTTCAACGTTTCTCGGCTTCAGTTCATATGGAACCAAATTTCCTTGCTTTGAATAATTCCCAACGATTTTAAACAATGTGAAATTGCTTGTTGAGTCACTCCTAATGTAAGTGCAAGTTCTTCTTGCGTTTGGCACGAATCTTCCTCCAATAATGCTTCCAATTCCGCGTCTTCGTATACTTTCGGCCTTCTGCTACGTTTTTTGTCTTCGACGTCAAACTCATCGTTCTTAAACTTTTGAAACTACTCACGACAACTTCTCTCACTTAAAGTAGCCTCACCATATGTTTCTACAAGCAATCGATGCGCCTCAGCTGCAGATTTCTTTAAATTAAAGAAGTAAATCAAAAGTTCCCGCAAATGACGCTTATTCGGCTCAAAACTCGACATTTTCGCACAAAAAGATTATGTGATGCTGATACAAAATCACTAATATTTCACAGTTATGATGTTGTCAGATGTCCAACCTTACGATATGACGTTTTACATCTGACCATTTCAATCATAACTTACTGGTGGGGCCATCTTTTGTCAAACGGCGGAGACTTATTTGTACCCCGAATATAAAAACGAGGTGGAAGCCTCGACGTGTTCGACGTGGGAGCCTCAGTCTGCTCAGCCACGCCGCTTTGTTGAAAGATAGTCGCAACTTTAGCAATATGTATGATACAGTCCCGCGACCCAAACTTTATACTGTAATTTTTCATAAACAAAGGCCGCAAATCAGGATATCAATACTCAACATCGCAGCTAGCAAACGTGCTATGATTCATTCAGAAATCGATTTAGCAGATTGTGGCATCTCCTTGTAAGATTAGTTTTGTTAACTACTTCGCTAGCAGAGGAAATTAGCATCAACTGACCCAAAAAATAGCAAGATCAAAATGTTGTTTGATTTTTATAAAAGTCAGTACTAAAGAACTTTTCGAATTACGAATTTGAGATCAAAATTTGAAAGTTTAAATTAACGGATCTAATGTGGCAACTAGAAGTCCTTCTTTATCTGATTGACTAAACAATCTGAATAGATTTTACAGACTGACTTTTATCATCTTAATTCTATAGATTTCATAAATAAACTATCTTGTTGGATTGTTTGACTGAACAGACTAAGTTTTCCAATAAATCGTCTAATAGGATATACTGACTAACTGACCAACTCGAAAATGCAAACATTAGTTTCATTCAAGGATGTGAACCGCCGTATATCGTTATTCTCGTTCCAAATGGCCTTGTATTACAGCAATAAACAAATTTGAATAATATGAAACTGAAATTATTTAGGACGTAGAAAAATGAGAGTTTTGAATTTGACAAAACTAATCTCAGATTCGAAATCAGCGACCCTAAAAATCTCCAAGTACCGAGTTTTATCCAAATCAAGTTACTTGTCGTATTTTGATCGTCATATTGAATTCGTCATCTTGAATTTAGAAATTTTGAGTTGATTCGAAAGCAGCGACTACAAAAGCTCCTGAATACTAGATTTCATCAAGTCACTTTTCGCATTTTGGTCTACCATTTTAAATTTTCAAATTTAGGGTTCAGAATCGAAATCAGCGACCAAAAAACCCTTGGATATAGTTTGATGAATTTTTTCCCGTCTTGCTAACAGGAAAAAAATAAAATAATGTGCGCATTAATGCGTTAATGCCATTTTTGGTACATCCTTTATTTGACGCAAAAGTGCGTCAATGCCAGCGAAGTAATTAAATTCTAAAATTTTTATCTCAAATTCGTATTCAGCTTCTCGAAAAATACTTTACTACTGACTTTTATAAACATTGAACAGCATTTTGATCTTGCCATTTTTGATCAGTTGATGCTGATTTTCTCTGCCAGCGAAGTGGTTAATAACATTTATACATCTAAAATAAATGCATATGTGTGTACGTGCATGTTACGCAGTCATGTATATAATTATCTCTCGTGGAAAAAAAATATTTTTAATATCATAAATGTTTCAGTATCTATCAACTATATTCTCCTACTTCACAACGATGCGAATAATGTTCGAAGAGAAAAGCAATGAAATATAAGCAAGACAACATAGTTCTAACGAGTTTTAATGAAGTAGAATTTTCTGTGCACTGTATTATAAATTATTAAATTATTACTCCAAGTTTATAATTAGTTTAATTTAAAAATTCCTTTTGCTTATAAAAAATTCTGATAATTTCCCACAACACGAGCAAGTACACATGTATACAAAATATCTCACCAAACATATAACTTTTTAACGATGGATTTCGTTAACTTCTAACAGTTAAGATATAATAATATCTATAGTTTTGTGGGGGATCGAGTATCAATCAAGACGCAAACTACTTATGTAGTTAGTTACGAACGAAAGAATAAAGAAATTTTAATGCAATACTGTGTAACGCGTCGTCTCTCTGCACTCGATGGCGTGGCCCATACGGACTGACTGACTATCTGCTGAGCTACTCCTTCTTTCTGCGCTTGTCCTGTGGAGGCCGACACCATCACCTCACACACTCGGTTATCCAAATCGTTCTCGATACTCGAGGAGAGGACAGCGTTCTCGTCACCATTGTCCATAGGAAAATCTGTACTTGAATTCCAACGTTGATGATTCGGCCAAGGTTTCATATAGTCAGCTGAGGTATTGGTACATTTTAGACCTTCGGCTTCACCTAGTTTTTCGACAAGGTATCAGTTATTTCTTAAAACTCTAGTCACTTGATATGGTCCTAGAAAGGGTGATAATTTATCTATCCTTAAATACTGATTTCTATTTGGTACTAAATGATAGTTTATTATGGGTCGTTAATCCTGAGAAAGTCTCAAATTGAGCCAGCTTGTTATTCCCAAGATATGGAGAGTCAAAGTTGCTGATTTCATCAACTTGCGTATTTGTTGTTTTAAAATATTGGAATGGAAACTTACATAATAGATTCAAAATCATATTCGTTCGCTGTTATGTAATTATTTACAAGTATACGCGAATATACATTGGTATAAATGTGAAAAAGATATACGGTTACATAAATGTATACACATGTAGATATAGTTATATATAAATATGAGTGAGATACTCTAGTGGATCTGCGCAAACTACTCCGAAGGTATGGTTAGTAGTGAAAAATGTTTCAAACGAAATTGTAGGGCCGATAAGGATCCGTTTAATGATGACCTTGTGTTTGATCTTGGGAGCCAATGAAAGTCTATCAGTGGTCAAGGTTTTGAAATTAGAACCTCTATTATAATTTTTATTACACTTTTTTTTCTGAAATCGAAATACAGTTTCAAATTCAGAAAATCATCTTGACCTCTGAATGATCTTCACCCTTGACTCCAAGATCAAACGCAAGATCACTATTAAACAGTCCCTTATCAGCCCTACAATTTTTGTCTGAAACATTTTTCGTTATCAATAATATCTTCCAAGTAGTTTGTGTGGATTTATGAGAGTATCCCACCCATATTTATATATAACCATGTATATATGTGTATATGTTTGTGTAACTATTTATCTTTTACACATTTATATTAACATATATTCGCGTATACCTGTAAATAATCACATAACAGAACGAATACGTTTTTTGAATCTATTATTATGTAAGTTTCCATTCCAACGTTTTAAAGCAGCGAATATGCAAGTTGCAAAACAACTTTAACCCTTCATATCTTAAGAATAAAAAGCCGGCTTAATCTGAAACTTCCTGAGGATTCATAACTCATTATAAACTATCATTTAGTACCAAGTAGAAGTATAAATTTAAGTGTGAAAAAAGAGGTTATTTTTAGTCTGTTTTTGCGGTCACTCTTTCAAGTGGACCTTGAGACCAAGCCCAAGCTGCGTACGTTGTATCGCTATGACGTCCTCAACATGCAGACCTCCGTGGTTTGTTGAAAGTTGTCCGTTTCTGTACTATTAAGATGTTTCTCTTTGCTCCCTTTCGTGCCTGCGATCTGTTGAAAATATTCCATATGTTACTTTCTGGATAATATTGCATAACTGTTGATAGTTTTTAAATAACATGTTGCGTCTCTCCTATTAACAACTCGAAAGTCGTGTGGCACCAATATTCCTGTTAAATGATGAATTCATATACTGCTGAACTTTACTCACATGCTTGTACCACTCCATAGGTTTCAATAGCGAAAGCTTGGTGAGTATGGCAATGATGGACTTATTTATCCTGTAACACTACACTCGCGGCTCGTGCAGCCGGTTTCACTAATCGAGTGCAGCGACAAAATATATTGTATTCTTCGCGCCTCGGCGACCGTTCGGCAGATCCAGCGAGACCCGACAGCTCTCACGAACAAAAAAAAACTCTAGATGGGCGCCAAGTACGGCGGTCCGTACCCACTAACACAGTCGCAACACTAATTACAACTCTAAGCGATGGTCTCGCCGACGAGGACAACTTGCCCTCCGTCCGAACGGCTCTCCCGAACGTCCGGCAGCTCAGCCCTGCTCTCGGTAGAGGGGCTGGTTCGCGTGATGTCAGAAGAGTTAGTGGTTGGCGGGTATTGAAATGATCAAGGCGGATGTTAGATATTCGAATTTTATTCGAATTTTATTCGTAGCAATTTACAATAGTGAGATATTTCGCCCGCGTTAACACGGCAACAACTCGCATAATACTTTTTGATTCGGTAGCGATTCTCAATAACACAATACAGATATCCTTGCTCGCGGTCGCGATGCTGGTCCTCGGCAGCTCCGATTTTCGAGTCGTGACCACGAAGGTCACG